CCAGAATATTAACTGTCAAAATATGGTTGTGCAGATCAAAATGAAAGGGGAAAAATTTACCATAGTGAATCTATTATATATTCTGGATGTTTGAACACATCACACAGCAATTCCATTATTTTGTCACCTGGGTTCCTGAGTGACAAGTGTAACAATCTCAGTCTCTGGTTTTTCCTGAGTACTTCTCCAATATGCTTACTGTTGGATTCTGTCAGGATCTCTCCATTAAGCCTGCAGAGAAGAGTAAATAAACCATAATTATTTCTTTTTAAAAAAATTTTTTTTATTGATTTTAAGACAAACATAAACAAAACATAAAAACATAAGCCATCTTCCATATATATATATATATATATACATACAGTGTGCCAGTTGGTTTACAAATTGTTTTGTGCAACCTTTTGGTAGTCTTCACTTACAATTTCATTATATATCCTCTCATACTTTCAATCAAATATCAAGTACATTAATATCTTTATTAATCAATCGTTGACTATACTTTTATTCATTCATGTTTTATAAAATAATCATATTTTACTTAGTTTATTTTATAGCAATTCATATTATCCTCTCAGATCTATCCTAGAATCATTTTGTAAATATAGTTAAAAAAGAAAAAAATACATCTTCATATATTTATTATTTTCTAAGAACCTACATATTCCATTAGTATATTTTATTATCTAACCACTGATAGAATAGATCCTAAACTTTGTAAAATTGTTTATCATCTTGTTCTCGAATTTCAAATGTCAATCTACTCATTTCAGCACATTCCAATATTTTTTTTTTCCACCAAATTTTATTAATTTCACAAAAACAGTACACAAACAATCAAGGCATAATAACATAGAACATCCTTTCCAAGAAAACCAATAAAACATACAGAATAATTCTAAATTGTGATATTGATATTTACGTTATCTATTCAACTTCATATCTTATCCCAACTTCTCCTTTTCATTCTGTTATCCAAACCATATTTCTTGCTGATTAAAGTTTTGTTGCCTTTCATAAACAATATCCAAACATACAAAACATAAAACATAAAAAACAAACCTAAAACATCTTTTCTGAAGGCTGCTTGATCCCGGGCTAAAAACTCTTCACACAGACACAAATTCAAAGATCATATTTACTTTATATATCATTCCATATCTTATTACTATATTCAACTTTCTATATAGCTTCTTCTCTCTTTTATCTTTCTTAATTTTGTTTTATTTATCTTGTCTCAATTCAATTCATAGTACTTATCATTCTTTGTCTGCTGTTTCCATCCATCCATTCATCTTTTCTCTTTTAATATGCTTCTCCTATACACTAACTGGAGTGACGCCTTTGACTCATTCCCCTAACTTAAAATTACTTAATATAACACTTAATTTATATTGGGATTCTGTTTAGTACATTCTAAAGTTACATAATAAATTTTAACCACTATCCATGTTAAATCATATATATTAATACTCATTTATATCTTAAGCATTTAACTCTAAATACACATATAAAAACACAATCTTATGTACCTTCCAGAATCCCTTTTTCAATTAAGATTACCCATTGTCTCTAAATATGCTTTGTTTCTTTAAATCCTGCTTCCCACCAGTAAAGCTTCTCATCCCCTCCCTTCTCTCTTGCTTGTTCTTCTCCTTGCCCTTTTTACCCCTTTGTCTCTTCTCCTCCCTTTTCTTACTACCTTTCTGATGTTTTCTAACCTTGTATCTACCTTTCATCTCCTTCTTCCCTTTTTTGGTTGCTTTTTCAAACCTTAAAATCCCCTTTTTCTTTTCCTCTTTCTCCTCCTCCCCAGAAGGAACCCATTGTTCATCAAAGATGGCTTCTTCTTCTCCTTCTTCCTGCTGCGTAATCAACTTTTCATAAGTACATACCGCCATTTCCAAAAATTGAAATAGAGCGTCCAAAGTATCTTCTTCTTTATATTTTTGATATAAATTTGTAATTCCACAAGCAATGCCATCATGAAGAAAAAAAAAGCTTTTTCCAAAACCACCACCCAAGTATTTTTAATCACAAATAGTTGCAAAGAGTTCCAAAGTTACCAAAGTTCTTTCTTCTATTTCTCTTTCTGGGGTTACTGTTTAATCAAAGAGATACAATTACAATATATCTTTCTTTAAAGTTCTAGGCAGTCTCCTCCTTTTCCAGCTTCTGCTCCAATGTTTTTTTCTTTCTTCCTCTCCCTTCCCCCTTACATCAACACTTTTCTTTTAAATATTCAGAAATCCATACCTCCAATAAAGGTTCCGATTTCTTAAATTATTAAGTCCAGTGTCCCGGAGTCCTTTATCGCTTGGCTTTAACTTTCAAAATAATTTACCTTAAGTGCTCAAATAAATTTTCCAAATCTTCATCTGCTGTTTCCATGGGGTGGGAGAGTTAAGAAAAGAAAAGTTTTTTTTTTTCCCTTGACAGCGTTTAGTCCGCCGCTTTCCGTTCTTCTCAGGGATACAATGTATCTTCTAGCAGTTCAAACAGATCTATTTCAGAGTATTTAGCAGTTGTGGATTGACCCGGCTCAGACAGCACTTTCACTTTCCAGCTTCCTCCAGCACAATCTTACCCGGCTGCCGGCTTCTTCGTGGTGGCCATTGCTGACCGCCGCTCCACCACCTAGGGAAAAAGGGGTTTTTCCAGACGAGGAGGGGGTCTGCGACACCCCCAATCCCCTGTCTGGCTCCCCTTTCTCTTCGGCTGCCTCTACAGGGCAGCCCTATCCCCCTGACCCATCTGGATCGGGGGAACCTGGGCAGCAAGCGCAGAAGGAATCGCACACAATCGCGAATTCCTGCTGCCTCCGAAGCCGCGCGAAACCGGAAACCTTTTGTCAATCTACTCATTTCAGCACATTCCAATATTTTCTTAATGATCTCCTCCTGTGGTGGTATCTTCTCATTTTTCCAGTTTTTAGCAAATACAATCCTAGCCGCTGTTAATACATTCACAATCAAATATTTCAAATTTTTACTATATATTTCAGGCAAGATTACCAATAAAAAAATCTCTGGTTTCAAGTCTCTATGCTTATGTATCATTTTTTCCAGCCACATGTGGATTTTAGTCCAATATTTTTTAGCGTCCGGACATGTCCACCACATATGGTAATATGAGCCGGATGTCTGATGACATTTCCAACACTTTTCGGACTTATTCTTGAACATTCTTGCTATTCTTGTCGGGGGAAAGTACCACCTGTAAAACATCTTATACAAATTTTCTTTATATGCTGTTGACATTGTCATTTTATAATTTTGAGACCACAATTTTTGCCATTTAAATCAATCCCATATCCAAAATTCTTCCCCCAAGCAATCATAGTTTCTTTAACTTGTTCTTCTTCTAATTTAATTTCTAATAAATACCCATATAATTTTTTAATCACCTTTTCATCAGCACCTGTCAAAATCTTATCTAAATCAGTCAATTTATCATAGAAGCCTTCTGTTTTAAAATCTTTATCATACCTTGAATGTATTTACGTATATGAAAACCAATTCATCTTTATACCTTGTTCCTCTAATTTTTGCATAGATTTAAGTTCACCCTTTTCATTCAATATTTCACCATGTCTAACGGTTCCTTTTTGTATATTATAGGATAAGAAAATGCTTCAGTAGGGGGCTTCCGGTTTGCTGGCTTCACGAGCGGCAGGGATTCGCCATACCGCGCGATCCCTGCTGCGCTAGCCGCTTTTGGTGCTCCGATCCGGACGGGTACGGAGCTAAGGCTGCCCTGCAGGGGCGGCTGAAGATAAGGGGGATCCGGAGAAGGGTTTGGGGGCGTTGCAGACCCCCTCCCTGGCCGGCAGAACCCCCTTCTACAAAGACGGTGTAGCGGCGGTCCGTAATGGCCGCCACAAAGAAGCCGGCAGCTGGGTAAGAATGCGCAGGAGGAAGAGGAGAAAGTTCTTGAAAGTGAAAGTTTTCTTGGTTGACCCAGGACTCTAAGACTTTTTTAACACAATTCCTGGAAATTATGGTTTTCTGAATGACTATTTCCACAAGAGGAAAAAAAAAAAAAAGCGGCAATTTTTGAGGTGCTGAAAGGAAAGTTTACTCTCCTTCCCTACAGAATCAACAAGTGTATACTGAGAAATCTGTTTTTCTTTTAGGTAAAACCAGCTTTGTGTGATAAGTGGGAAGGGAGAGGACAAAAAATATATTTATATGTCAAGATTTTGTTGGAGGAGATGCCTTAAGGATTTGAAGATTGAAATATAATTTTAATAAGACTTTAAAAGACAGATTTGGACTTTCCCTTTTTTTTTTTTGATTGATATTACCCCAGGAAGAGAAAGTGAGAATTTTGTTTTGGCTTGGATTGATTGAGGATTTTGGGATTGTTCTATTTTTCTTTGAAATATCTTTGAAATATCTTGGTTGGTGTAAGAAGAAAAGAAGAAAAGATTTATAATGGCCTTTTCTGCTGAGGATTTGAGAAAAGAATATGAGCTAACAAAAATAGATGGTAGAGATGGTGTGAAAGCAGCCTTCCTTTTTTTAGAAATGGCGCTTGTTAACTATCAACAAACATTGCAACAGATGGAGACAGAAAATGAAGAAGAAGAGGAAGAAGCCATCTTTACTGAACTTCAAAATTCAACTAAGAAAGAAGGAAGGAAGGAAGGAAGGAAGGAAAATGAAGGACTTAAGATTTAAAAAAACATTTAAGAAAGAGAGTAAACAAAAGAAAAAAGGAACACAGCAGAGAAGGGAAGCTAGCAAGGTAGAGGCTAGGAGAAGGAGGGGTAGTGAGGTTTGGTGGGGGAAGAAAGAAAGGGAAAAGGTGGAGAAAAACCACAAAGTTTTGAAACCAGATGGGAAAAGAGGAATTTTTTTTCGGGATAAAGGATAAAGTATAATTTCTTTAAAAATGATTTTGCAAGGTACATAAGATGGTATTGTAATATTTGTATTAGAAAAAGAAAAT